CGCCCCAAAGCATTGTCCGCCCCGCTCTAATTAAGAAACACTGGCCCCACGGCCAGCTTCGCCCCCCCCCCTCCCCCCCCCCTCCGCGGTCCCTGGGCCTTTCTGGTCTCCCCTGGCCCGGTTTAACCCTTCCTCATCCTTCCCTTCCTCTTCCCTCCCCGAGGCCAGAGGTTGAGCAAACAGCAGCCAGAGAGCTGCAAGGCAGCGATGCGTCCCGGCCGTCGTGCCCCCCCCCCCGCCCCGTCACCGCCGCGCCTCGCCCCTCTCCGACCCCCCGAAATCCCCGCCACCGAAACGGCCGGACAAAGCCCCCACACCGGAGCCCGCGGTTGCGGTTCGTCCGGCGACCAGGGCTCAAAAAGGCAAGGGAGCCGCCGTGCGCCTCGCACAAAGGCGACCGCCTCCCGGAGCCCCCCCAGCCCCCGCAGTTGTTTCGCACACCCCAGAGGACAGTTAGCGTTCAACCAAAATTTAACGCTCGGATAGTGCGCTTCTGACTCGCCCTTTTCAAATAAAAGCCCGTTTAAGATGATAAAACCCCACGAAGCAAGCCGGGTGAAACTGCTTCCAGGGGCTGGTGCGCGTCCCCGCTCTTGTTAAAAAACTTTGCGGTAGTCTATACAAAACAAACACTGTCGCGAGCTCAATAAAGCGATTTATCCATCTTCATTACTTAAAGAAATGTTGTCTCTTTGTTTGTTTGGGAGATATTAAGCATGCTTAGCTTGCAACACATAGTTGATTCCTTTGCTAGTATCTTGGATACTTGGATCTGACTTTGGAAGGTAGGAGCTAATTGCTAATAATGGAGAGAAAGGAACCAGCCAGCATAGCGGGAGTGGCCTGGCATATGGGGAATGAGCGGTCTGAAATACTCAATATTCAAGTTTCCAAAATATTAATGAGATTATAGCAACCTGCAGCTATACGTTACAGCTTGTTAACGGAGTGTAAGAGAGGGGGGCTGCCAAGCGGTTGTTATGCAAACTCTATAGCTGAACCTTAAAATGGGAATGCGGCTGGGTAACCCTTTCAAAGAAGCGTTAAAAAAAAAGAAGAAGAAGAAGAAGAAGAAAAAGCCCCTCAGACGGCGAGTGCTGCGCTGCGGCTGCGAGCACCAGCCGCGCCATGCGGTGCGCTCATCTGTCGGGGGAAGGGATCCGACAGAGAGACCGGGGACGATTTTGCTGCGCTCTTTTCCACCACCTCGCGTGTTCGCAGCCGCAGAGGCAGCGCCCGGGACGGCTTGGCCGAGGGAGGGTGCTCGCACCCTTTCAACCCCTGGCAGGCACCCCCGGGACCCCTCCGCGGGGTGCTGCCCTGAGGTCACTCACGGCGGCGGCCGCCGCTTTACCCGCGCTGTGCACATACCCAGACCAAACCAAATAAACAAAACAACACTCCCAAAATTTGCGATATTTTGCTCCGCCGCATCACTCCTGTGCTAGGACTCCACGCGGTCCCCGAAGATGTGAGACCGGCTTCCACAGCCCAGAAATCAATGCCCGTAAGAAACGGTGACCCTCCCCGATAAAGCAGTCGGTTTTTATGAAGGGAAATAGCCCTCTCAATGAACTTTCCGCCCTGCGAGACCGTACGCCGCTTCGGCAGGTACGGGCGGTGACCGCGGGTGTTGACGGCGGGCAGGGCAGTGCGGTAGCCCGGGGTTATCGGAGGGGCAGGTGCCCTGTTTCTGCAGGGGAAAGCGACACCCTCATGGGCTTCGCTCCCGCAGGGGACGCTCACCCGGCCGCGCCCGGTTAACTGATCACCCCTTAGATACCCCCTTCCCAGGTGTCACCTGCTGAACTCAGCGGGACCCCGGCAGCGACACGGCTTCGGTTTAGCCCCGGGTCTGGTGTCACGGGCAGGCTGGGCAAAGCATCATTCCCCTGTCCCCCGTCCCCCCTCCCCCCCTCGGGTTTAACCCGAGCCCAATGGCCATATCCTGATCCCCCGGCGACCCACTACGCTGCTCGCGTGTCCTCCAAACCCTGCCGGCTTCCCCGCTCGCTCCTAACCCTTTCCGCCCGGCTTATCATGAGGCTCCGTGGGGGGATCCGCTCGTGCCCCCGACCGGGGGGGGCAGGTGTAAGAAAGGAATGATGTGACTCGAGCGGCGGTGCAGGGACAGGCGGCTACAGAGCAGCGCCAAGCCCCTCACCCTGCACTTGTTGTAATTACCCCGGTTCCGCTGGGAACGGCGGGACGGAGACTGGAGCACGGTCCCGGCAGCGCAGGCAGCGGAGGCAGCGCTCCTCCACGCGTGGCACAGCCCGCCCCGGCCCCGGGGCCGCCCGGTCCCTCTGCAGGCAGCCGGGGCGCCCCGGCGGCTCCCTGGAGCATCGCTCCGCGGCTCTGTCTGTATCTCTCAGTCCCGCTGCGGGGTTTGACACCATCCCGGCTCGGGGAATGCGAGGGGAGAAGCTGAACCGGACCACGCTTTGAGGCTGGTTTTGTTTTGGGGTTTTTTTTGTTTTGTTTTGTTTTGGGGTTTTTCCCCCACGTTTATTTGATCTCAAAAAAAATTTAAAATTAAAATACATAAAACAATGGCAGCTGGCCTTGCTAAAATTAAAATAAACGAATCTCGTCGTAGAAAAGAATTTTTAAAAAAGCAGAAATAATAGCAAACACTGCATAATAAATACGTTTCCTATTACCACAAAAGGAAAATAAAACGGACATAAAAGTTTGACACGACAAAGCTGTTTTCGTTTTTAAGAGAGTTCGGATTAAGTGGCTTAATTAAATATCGGTCTCCAATTGGCGGTTAGTAGCTTTCCTCTTGAGACTGCATCTCCAGCCGCTGATAAAGTGCTTGCGCCAAGTTTCCCCCCAAAAGACGCCGAAATGGTGCTCTAAGGAAAATCCAAATTTTCTCCGCTATTTACAGGTCAAGACGGTGCGTTATTGACTTTTTGTGTGTGTCTGTGTTTCCACAGCAGTACGACCCAGGGCAGGATCGGTGTCCTGGAAAACGGGGGTGTCAGGGCGGGTTCACGGCCGGGTGGGGATGGCGCCGGCGGCACCCCGGCACCCCCGGCAGCGGGGCCAGGCTTTCTCCTTGCGCATCACCTGCTCGCCGGCAGGGCAAGCCAGGCTCCGCGCTGCGAGGTGGCGCGTTGGCAGAAGGGAACGGCAACGACTTCTAGGCAAAAGAAACTTTTAAAGTGGTAACTAAAAATGGAAACAACCAACCGACCCTGACAGACAGGGCGGGTACAGTCACTCGCTAACAGCCATCTCTCCTGGACAGACCCAGGGGCTACCGGGGGTGGGAGACGAGGGGGTGAATTTCAAAGCGACCAAGGGGAGCCGATGCCGTCCGAGGCAGCACCGCGGCCGGCTGCTCACCCCACGGCGGAGTCTGTGCTTCTAGGGGCGGCCGCGGCCCCGGGGCGGCCGGGGGGTTGCCGGGGACGACCCCCCCCCCGCCTTAGCTGGCCTCGTCCGAGTCGCTGTAGTGGGAGCGGGGCGAGAACTCCCCGTCGCTCCTGTGGGACCGGGGCGAAGTTTTGCTCCTCTCCTGCGGCGGCTGCCCGGGCTGCGGCATGAGGAGGGCGGGGGAAGGGGCTCTCTGTCCCATCAGGGCGCCCTCCGCAAAGGAGGAGAAGTGCAGCGGGTCGAGCTGCACCGAGTAGCCCCCCGCGGCCGGCGGCGGGGGGAAGCGAGTCCTGCCGTGCCCGGGCGGCGACGCTCTGGGCGGCCCCGGCGGCGGCGCCGGCGGCCCCGGCGGCGCTCCTGCCCCGGCGGCGGCGCAAGGCGGCTCGAAGGGGGCCCCGCGGTGCTCGGCCTTGCCGGGGCCGTCGGGAGGGGCGGCGGGGCCGTGCAGCAGCTCGGCCAGGGCGCTGATGTAGATCTGCGCCATCTGCAGCGTCTCGTACTTGGAGAGCTTCTTGTCGTTGTTGAAGGAGGGGATGACATTGCGCAGCTGGTCGAAGGCGTGGTTCAGCCCGTGCATCCGCCGCCGCTCCCGCGCGTTGGCCGCCAGCCGCCGCTGCTTCTGCACGCCGCTCACCTGCGCCCGCAGCCCGGCACCGCCGCCGCCGCCCCGCGGCCGCCCGCCGCCCCGCGCCCCGCCGGGGCTGCCCCCGCCGCCCCGCGCCGCGCCGCCCTCCGCCGCCGCCTCCTCGTCCTCCGCGGGCAGGAGGTAGCGCGGCGAGGCGGCGGCGGGCAGGCGGGCGGCGCAGCACACGCCAAGCCACGAGCCCGGCGCGAAGCCGCCGCACCCGCCCGGCTCCGGCCCCGGCCCCGGCGGCGGCTCCGGCGGCGGGTCCCGGGCGCGCTCGGCCCAGGGGAGGCTCATGGCTCTAGCGCCGCGCGCACATGGGGCGGCGCGCGTGGCGCCCCGACGGCTCCGGTGTCGGAGCGCGCGCCGCGCCCCCCTTTAAGGAGCGGCACGCGCCGGGGTCCCCCCCCCGCCCCCTCTTCCCCCCCTTCCCTCCCCTCACCTCCCTCGCGCCCCACCCCTCCCGCCGCGCGCCCGTCACTCGCGCCGGTCGCGTGTCGGCGCGGCCAATGGAGCGCCCGCGCGCGGGGCCGGCGCGTGCGGGAAGCCAATGGCGCGCGCGGGGCGCGGGGGGGGGGGGGGAGCGGAGGTTGCGGGGGGGGGGTAAGGGAGGGGTGATCCCGGGCCGGCGGCACGCGCGGCCACGCCCCGCCCCGCCCCGGCACGGCGCGCGCCGGGCGGGCGCCCCGCGCGCGGCCGTGCGGGACCTGGTGCGGGGGGAGCCCCGACGGCGCGGCCGCTCCGCACCGGGGGAACCCAACACCCGCCGGCACCGGGCCCTGCCCGCCGCCTCCCCCCGCTGAGGATGCTCCGTCGCGCCGGCCAGGGGAAACATCCCTCTCCTTCCAGCCCCCGCTGGCCAAATCCCGGAGGCTCCGGTAAATGCCCTCCTTGGCCTCCCAGCGCCGGACGGCGGTAGCACTTGGTCCGTCTGCGACCCTGCCCGAGGTATCGGTAAGGGAGCGCTGTCCGCCCCGGGACGGCCGGCGTGCATGGGACCGGCCGCCAAGCCGCCGAGGGTGTGCCCTCGGTTTTAGAGCGTTAGTCCCGGAGACGCGCGGGAAGCCCGCGTGGGACCCGGTAGCTGAGACACGTTGGCGTTTGCAGCCGGGACAGCACACTGCCCCCGGAGCTGCCACGTGTTCGGCAGGGTCCCGATCCCCCGCGAGCGAGTCCTTTTGTTGGGCCAACAATAGCTGCCCAAAGGTGGTGGAGAGGGAAATAGCTCCGTGCACGCATCTTAACTTCCCTTCCGCGCAGCCTCCCCTCCCGCCACCGCCGCCTGCCTGGAGAGGAGAAGTGGAGGTTTGCCCATGTGAATAGGCGTGTGGAGAACAAAGTGATGGGCACAGTATGAGGTAGATATGTTTTTTCAAAAGTGAATAACTCACGAGCCAAGGAGGGAGCGAGGGAGCCCAGCAGCTCAAAGCTGAGCGGCGGTGACATGGAATGAGCAGCCTCACTAGTTTAGGAAGCTGGCTGGGTACGCTTGGCGCATGGCCACCTTCCACAAACAACTGGATGTTTTTAGACAAACGGGACGCTGATGGTTTGCTTTCTTTAAAAACAAATTGAGGCAAGCCTTTGCTATTATTTTTTTCTTTTTTTGGCAATTCTGTTTCAAAGGCAAAAGCTGCTGGACACCCCCAAACCAAATTATCAATTTCTAACCAAAATGAAAACGTTTACTTGGTAAGAAAGATGATAAGGAGCAGAAGTTAATACCTTGTTTCTGTATATTATCCACAAAGTTGCCAGACTATTTGTATCTAACAACTCTTACATACTCCTTTTGTATTACAACCCACACATAAATGCTTATATCACGAATGGAATAAAAAGTCCTCTGAACCTCTGAACGGTGCTGTTCGCCAGCTAAACACCCAGCCCTCCAGCTTCTCTTTCAGTCTGCAGCAGGCACTGCGTGCTCCCTCACTGAGTCCCCGTGGCACAAGCACGCTTTGCCAGCAGCCCTGTTGCACTCTCCTCCCCAGGGTTAAGCTTGAGCATTCCCCTTTCGAGCGCCAGTTGCTGTGGCTGGGAGCTGCTCCATGCAAGGACCGCAGACCAAAGCTTGGAAATGAGAGGTAACCTTGCTAAGCAATACCCACTGACACGCATTTCCAGAAGCCTTACGAGCTCCCAGGCATGGGGAGAGCCATGATGGTGCAGCGTTGAAGTCTTAAACATCTCGCTCCAGGCTGATGGGCCGTGGGGCTCTTGGGGCCTCCTTGACAGCAGGGCCCATCTTTAATCCCACAAGCCACCCAGTAGACCCTGGGCATAGAGGGGAGCAGCATCCCATTAGCATCTCATGTGGATGTGAGGCGACTGGTGCCCTGGAGGGGCCCTGGCCTCTGAGTACCCTGCACTGCTGGCTGGGCCAGAGCTGCTGTCAGGTGCTGGTGGGCTTCCCTTAGCAGTACTTCAGTGACTTCATGGAGCACTGGGGAGATCAGCCTAACACCCCAGCACGCTCTTTGGATGGTCAGCACGGCTGAGAAACACTACCAGCTGCTTATTTTTCAAGCGCGTGTTTTGTGAGCGCGTGCACACTTTGAAACTGGAGGCATCTGAGACTCACTCGAGAGTTTGCCTTTGAAAGGACACACACAAAAAGCTATTTTCCCCACCAACACCACTGCTCAGAGGGGGAAAAAATGTTTCATTGAAATCCAGTGCTCTCCATATGCCTGTATCTGCTGTGCGCGCTCAGAGTCAAAGTCAAAGGCAAAGAGTGGTTTATGTCAGTGCTGGGTTTAGCTCTGCTCTCCCAGAATAAGATAAATGTAAGTGATGAAGAACTCCTGGGGCTGGCTGAACTCATTTTGTATTCAACACTGCCCGGCCCTTTTCTCTTCCCTTTCTCCCTCTCTTTGTATGTTCAAGCCTACTTGGGTTTCTTTTTTTCTTTTGTAGAAGTTGGTTCTTTTGAAGCGGTTCGAGGCACGCCCTGCTGCAAAGGGGACTTCATGGGAGTCGGAAACACAGGCACACCGGTCTGAAACACTTACTGTACAATAGCAGGAATGTAGGAAGCCTTGAAAATGAATCTGCTCTCTCTAAGAAAGTGTCAAAGCTTTCAGAGGAAAACAAACTGAACTTATCCCTGTATCTTTATGCAGATTTCCCCTTGATGCTCCTTTCCTAATCCCGAGCCTGGTTAAGGGCTGAGGCAGTGGTCAGGCACATATTAGTGTTACAGAAAAATGGGTTACAAAAGGGGGGAGAACAGACTTACAAAAAGCCTCCTCTGTCATTACAGCTAGAGACATTCTGAAAGCACACAAAGCACATGGGTCAGTCCTCAGCTTAATTGTACTCAACAATCTAGGTGCTCATTCAATCCCATTTCAAGATCAGCTGGCTGCTCTGCAGGCATCACCACTGGTCAGCAAGTATTTTATTCCTTCTCTTCCCTTGCCCCACTTTCCCCACATTTTCTCCCATTTCCTTCCTTCCTTTTGAAAAGTGGGGGATGCACACAACCCTCTTTCTACCTCCCCTGGTCTTCAGGCAGTAAAATACACGAGTGGGTAGAGATCAGGTTGTGAGTCTCACTGAGATGAGGTAATCTATGCTGAATCTCAACCAAAACCTGGCCAGGCCTCCAGCAGGAGGAGGAAAATGGGATTCCTGCCCACTTGTGGCTGTCTTGCACCCTGGAATGCCCAATCCCATCTAGAAGCTACTACAGTGAGCAACAACAAACACGTAAAGACAACATACAGCTGAATAATTCTCAGTCTCATCAACTGCATCATCAGAATAGTCACCCAAATAAAGTGTTCATATTTACATTATTCAGAGCAAGATTGCTTAAAGCAGAAGATGGTCCAGCAGGAAGTCTTTCTTAGTCTCCTCCTACGACCAGTGCCTGATGCTTTACTGTCAAATGTGTTTTAAATTGACATTAGAAGTGATGACTGCAAGGAATGCAAAAGCCCAGGGAAATCACTGCAGACTTCAATGTTTCTGAAACCTGCCCCTTTCCACTCAGGACAACCAGGACCATGGTGCTGCTGAAGAGAATGTGCCCTCATTTCTGCAGAGTAATCTTCCTGGGCAGATCATTACGATTACCCAATGTCATTTGCTTCAACTCTGAGGGTTGGTTAAACTAATTCCCATTTCTTGGTGACATTTACCCCCATAAATATCTAGTGCAGACTTAAGCTGTGGGGCTCCCCCTGAGGACTCTTGCTGTTGTGTACAGTTAATTCTAGTGTAAGTACCTCCACTGCCTCCAAGAGAAATGCAAAGCATTGCTGTAACAATACCTACCTCCTGCAGTCATTGTAAGGCATAGTGAACTTGGCTTTGTAATATGGGAATCTTATCAATGGAATTTCTACCTACATACACTTTGCCTATTTATTTAAATGGCTATAACTGTTACCGAGACTTTAGTCTATGCTCATCTTTTAAAAATAAAAAGCTTCATATTCAAGGAAGTGTCACTCATAAAACAATTTTCCTTTGGTCACTTTGTTTTAAACACCTCCTTTTATTACCCTTGGCTTGTCAAGGAGGTTCCATTAAAATTGCTAAATGCCTTCAGTCCCACCAAAGTCTTGGAGAGTTCAGGCACTTCTCAGCTGTGTGGCACTTTGAAAAACAGGCCTCCAGAAAAACCAAACCAAACCATCAAGGCTCACCACACAGGGGTTTACAGGGCTGTTGCCATGGTCTGATGCATACTGCCATGGCCCCAGACAATCAGAGGACCTTGTTGGGAAGATGGCAAGCAGTTTTCTCCTGTCCTAAGCTGAAAAAATCTGACTGTAGAGGTCTGCATTGGCTTGGACACTGCTTCTGACAGGAACTGTAACCCAGAGTGTGGGCAATAGCTCAGACAAGCAGCTTTTGGATGAGGATGTGTATAACTAAGCATAATCCAGAGCTAAGCTTTTGGAGGAAGAAGGGTTAATGACCGAAAAATATTTATACACTGCACACAATTGGAAGCATTTCCTTGCAGTGAAAGACTGCTTTAATGTAATGGGAATACTAATATCAGACCCAAGGGATCTGCTTTTGTCGGAGGCTTTATACCTTCCCAATCCTTGAGCTCCTCACGTCTCTAACAGTAATGTTATTCCAGGTGTAGTTTGTTCGCCCATTGCAGCAGGAACAATTCTGCAGGGCTTGTGCGTGCTCACATGCACCACCCACAGGTCCATCATTTTAGTCACTCTTGAAATGAGCAGTAACAGAACACTAATGACCATCCCTACTTTATGAACAAGTGTTATCTAGCATGCTTTCATTACGCTGCTAGTTGGGATATTTTGCTAATATAAATCACTTAGCCAAGAAAATGACCAGTGCCATCAACAGTTTTACAGCATACGAACAATACTTCATCTGCTTTAAGATCAGAAAATTAACATCAATCCATCCACAGAGATAAGACAACATATTCCCTTCAAATCACATCTGGTCACTTCCACTTGCTCTCACCGTCTCTTGCACAAGAGCCCAGGGAGTGTAAGTACTCCAGATTTGCTGGTACTAGATTTGGGTTTTTTAACTGATTGCTACAGCATTCCCTCCTTCACTCTCACTTTAGCCAATGTACTGTTATAAAGGTTTGCTCTGGAAAAACATTCTAATCATAGGCTTGAGGTATAAACTAAAAAGTTAGCTTGAAGTCTCTCTGTGGCACAGTAATAACATATCGATGGACAAGTCAGGAAAAAATAACAGCTGATGTAAGCAAGAGGAAGAAAAGGAAAAAACCCAACATCTGAAACAGTCTGCCTTGCAACAGCAGCATTACTTCAGCAGTAACCTGGGAGCTTAGGGGAGCTGCTTCAATTGTACTGGGCCTTGATCATGTTCTCACATCCATCACCCACAAAGCTCTTGACAATTAGGCAGCCCTGTGCCTGAAGGAGGTTTCTTAGTTGTGGAAAAGCCAGCTCGGAATTTGAACCTTTCTGGGTCTCCTGAGGAGAGAAGGTCTCTAAAATGTAAATAGTAAATATTTACAGTTACACAAGCCAAAATAATGTGGGGAACAGCGGTCCCTCATAAGGGGAGAAAAGCAAGTGAATAGACCCAAGCTGGTGCTGCTCAGCAACTCAGAGGTATTTATCCACGAAAGAAACACTTGTCAGCCAAGAAAAAATACTACCTTGCCATCCACGGGAAATCCTTCCATTTAATCCCTGACAGCAAAGAGCAAAGTGGCTTCTAGGAACTGTCCATTTCCAACACAGCAACAACAGAACTTTCAGGAACTACCCTTGTGAAAGGCTGTGAAAACAAACCCTTCTGAAGATATCTTCATCTGGTCCTCTACCTTGTAGAGTAGGATGTCTTAAGAATTTTTACTTGCTAAAAACTAGAACCATTTTTTTTTCATGGGGTTAAGACAGAAAGACATACACAAAAATTAAGCATTTAAGGGAATTAAGCTTTAGGGGCATCTCAAAATTCCAAGCTATGCAGAAGACTCTCTTCAGTCTATTAGCCAACAGACAGCTTCAGCACAGCATTGCTTGCAGTGTTCTCGTCAGTGACAGTGTTCTCATCAGGTTTGTTCAAACACCAATGCTCAGTTGCAGTCCTGTAGCTCTTGGGAAGCAGTTCTCCTGTGACAGTAGGCTTCCTGACTGCAGCAAGATCCATACTTCTGGCATCTGGCATACCCGTGATCTGCAGACCTGCTTGGTCTGGAGCTGGAGGGAGACTTGTAAGCATTTTTATTTTCCAGGCATGCAGGATGCTTTGAACTCCATAAAAGTTTTAGAAACTCCCAAAGGGTGAAGCCTAGTGTTCATCTGCAGTGTGTAAAAGCTCCGTTGAGGCAGAAGGTGAGGCTAGACACAGCTGATGGTCTGCTGAGGCTTGGGACCTTCCATCAGGAACCCGCAGTTTTCAGTAGCCCAGGTGTATGGCTCTCACAGTCTGTGTGACAACCCCTACAGGGGTCACACAAGAGTTCAGTGTGAGAACCAGAGTTGTTCAGCTTTGGAAGGAGGGATGGTAGGAGTAACAGAAGTAACAAGCATCCCACCCTGCCTGGTTCATGGAGCAGAAAACCCCACAGCTTGCTTCAGCACAGTTGTTGCATCCACACTATAAGAAATTATCTCTGCTGTAGGCCTGTGTGCCTTTGCATCCTGGTGAGAGCAAGGGGAGGTGACATCCATGGAAAGGCAGCACACAAGCAAAGTCCAGCAAAAGCTGCTTTGCTTAATAAAAGCCTGGTGTCTCCACCAGGTCCTTGAGTGCCCTGCCACCGCCGTCTGGGATGGACACGAGGGCATTTCTCTCCTACGTCTCCCAGCTCGGGGCACCTGCCCTGGCAGTGGGCAGTGCTCGGTGGGCACCACTCGCCAGTCGGGCTCACACAGCCCACGCCACGCGGCTGAAGGTGCCCCGAAAAGCTTCTCCCCGGCGAGACGGCGGTGAGGCCACCACCCCGTCCCCTCGGGTGGGGTGTGCGCCCCGGGGCCGCCCCGCTGCCGGCAGCAGGTTGAATATTGTAGGTGTGGGCGATTAAAGTGTCGCCGGCACAATGGCGGTCTGTGTCCCATTCTCCACGCCCGGGCTCCTCTTTGGAAAGCGCACACAAGAGGTGACACGGCGCTGGCCCTCGCCATTATCCCGGCGGCATAGCGGCGCGGCCCGCCCCGTTTCCCGGGAAATGGGGCTCCTCCGGCCGCCGCGGGACCACCGCGGCCGCGCACGACTCCGCGACACTCCCACCCCCGCACCGGGGGAGAGGGGCACGGCGACGGGGGACGAAAAGCCGCCGGCGGCGCCCCCGAGGCACTTGTCGGGGACAAGAACCCCCCGGCCCCGGGCTGCTCCCAGGCCGATCCCCCCCCTTGCCCCCCCGCGTCGAGGCACCGGCGGCACCGAGCGGGCCGCAGGCGCCGGGGCTGTGCCGGAGCGGGAGGCGGTGCCGCAGCGCCACCGCCCGGGCGGCGCCCGGAACGGCAGCGCCGCCAGGGCAGGGCAGGGCAGGGCAGGGCAGGGCAGGGCAGGGCCGCCGATCCCGCCGCCAAAGCCGTCCCGTGTCGCCGCTCCTTCACCGCGGCTCTTCCCGCCGGCTTCCCGCCTTTCCCCGCCCCTGCACCCCGGCTCCCTCCGCACAGATCCCCCGTGCGAGGCCGCCGGCAGCGGTGAGGAGCCGGATAGCTCCCTCGACGAGCAAACGCCGTGGATATCTGAGGCAGAAGGTGTGCGCGAGATGATGGATAGCTGTAAATTCAAGCCGGGCTAAGATACAAGGACAAATTTAGCCCCTTCAGTCTGTCATTGCCTCAACCAAGCAATGTTTGAAAATTGACCAGATTAAAGCCAAAACTCGCCATAAAGGAAAAATTCAGCTAGGTGTTACACAACTGTACTAAAAATAGTATGCTATGTTCGGAGGCTTCCAACTCCAGCAGCAGAGTAATCAGTGCTAAAAGTGGGTTTTTTCCTTATCTCTTCCACTTGTTTGGTGGGGGTTTTGTTTGTTTTTGTTTGTTCGTTTGTTTTTAAATTTAATTTTATTTTTATTTTTGTCCATGCTTTAGCAAGTGACCACCATTTACTCAGGAATACGAAGCATGGGGTAAAGGATGGAGATGTGCATGCAAATGCACCATGCCTGATAGTTCCTTACATGGCTTCAACCCATGAAACAGAAATTCCTGTCTGTACTTCAGGTTGACTTCTATTTATACTCCAGCAAATTATTATATGCCATGGATAATAACTGTCTGGCTGTAATGCCATGGATAATAATCCACTGGCTGTAAGTTTTGGAAGGAAAGCTGCTTGTATGTGTCAATACTTATGGAATAAATGTTTAAGAGTATTTATGGATATGTTTTCCCTTTTCAAACAACTCATACAAGACACAACAGACTTAATATACATATGAACAGGCCTACATTTGTCAGATGATGCAGCACATCTTTAAAAGTGAAGATGACAGTGATATTTATTGAAAACAATAAATGTGTTTGTGAAAAGTCAGATTTCCAGGTGTATCCCCTCTAGTTCTACCTATCTTTTATCTTGATGTAGGAAAAACAAAGATCCCTGTGTCCCAAATCAGCTATACCTTCTGTTTTGTATAGATAGACTGACATGATAATTTTTAGTCACATAAAGGGGTTTAGGGAATTCTGTTTTGCTAGAGGGGGGGAAGTAAGAAGACTTCATCTGCAGTCTCCAAAACCTGGGGAAATATAAAACCAATCCAAGCAACAGCAGATATTATTCAGAAAGGTCTGTAAAAGTTAGAGCAAGACAAACCAGTCCAGTGTAGCCTGAGCACTATTTCATAAAGTAACATGCTTTTTTGTTACACTGCATCAATTTCTTGCTGGGTTAGCTGTCATGCCACAGAGACTACTCCTTAAAAATGCGTCAGATAGCATGAGTAGCAAGTAACCACATTATTTGCATTGTTCACAGTATTTGCTTTCTTTCTCCCGTTCC